TTTAGGGTTTAGGGCATTCTAGGGCTCATCTATCTCAGGTCTGCTGTGCAGGGCTCGACTTTGACACACCTTAACAACACACACGTTTGGAGTAGTATGGAGGCCTCAATAGCTAGAATAGGGTTTTGGTGTATATTATACTATAGTTATAATAAGGACCCCCCCCAAAAAAAAATACAGTAGGCAATTATTCAGGCTCCTATATTACATGGACCCCGGGTCTTTGCAAAATGTAGCAAAGAGAACAACGCCTTAGGGTTTCAGGTTTAAGGGCGTTGAGGGTTTAGGGGTTCAGGTCCTTTAGGGTCTACCTGGACCCTAAAGAACCTGCCTTTTTAGGGTTCCTTATTATGATTTCTTTATATAAGTCCCTCAAAAAGGTAGTTTACTAGGGGTTAAGGTAAGGCTTAAGGGCTTAAGGGTTTATTGGTTTGGAACTAGAGCGTTAAGGCTTTTAAACAATTATGGTTAAACGAGAAGGGGCACTGCCATGCTATTAAAATAGGAGCCTGGGCGTTTAGGGTGTTGGAAGCATTCAGAGTCTTCGGGAAAGGGCCGTGTCTTTGGAGCTTACGGGTTTAGGATGTTGGGGAGGACTCATCGGGGAAGGCTTTGGGGGTCATGTCCATATTATATATACATATGTCCATATATATATATATGTGTATATATAAACAACTCTATATATACATAGATACATATATACACACATATATCAGTAGTTGTTTATCTATTTGCTTTTGAATTTCGTTAACTTAATATGTGTATATATATATATATACACATATGGATATATGTATATGTATATGTGTATGTGTGTATATATATAGTTCGAAAGATAGATAGATACGTAGATGGAACAAGGATCCCCATACGAATAGCTGCTTCCCTGTGCGAATCATGTCGGAACCCCAAGCGGCGTGCTTTTCTCGCTGATTTGCTGCCAAGTCTGTAGCTCCTGGTAACCCCAAACCCTACACAATAGTAGGTTCTGACACCGTGAATATCGGGATTTAATGGGTATAACCACCCTAAAAACAGTAGGTTGTTATTGTTTTCCTAAACCCCGAAACCCCAAACCCATAAACCCTTAAACCCTAAACCCTAAACCCAAAGCCCTAAACCCAAAGCCCTAAGCCCTAAAACCCAAAGCCCTGACCCCTACATCCCCAGCTACAGCTCGCAGACTCACATGCCCCCCAGGACGGTCTTGGCACGGATGAGGCTCTCCTTCTCCTGCTTTGGGCTTTAGGGTTTAGGGTTTAGGGTTTTTTAGGGTTTAGGGTCTTAGTGTACCTTACTCACGGCCTTAAGGGGCCTTAAGGGGGCTTAAGGGGCCTTAAGGGGGCTTGGTCCGGGTTTTAGGGGTTTAGGGGTTTTGGGTTGGGGTTTAGGGGTTCAGGGTTTAGGGTTTAGGGAACCCCAGAAAGTTGGAACCTGGGCTTAGCAGGATCAGTGCTAGAATCCCTTCTACTTTACCTGAAGGGCATGAGGATAATGATGTTCCAAGTTTCTGGCTTCTACCTTACGGCCTTAAGGGGCCTTAAGGGGGCTTAGTCGGGGTTTAGGGGTTTAGGGTCTAGGGGTTCAGGGGTTTAGGGGTTTAGGGTCTAGGGGTTTAGAGTCTAGGGGTTTAGGGGTTTAGGGTTTGGGGTTATCGTCGTGAGTTGAATGTAAGTGTATCTAATGGAGTTTCTGTGTTCGAGTGTTTTCTCCTTTGGAAGGGTCCGGTGTAGGGTTTATGCAGAGGCAGGGGCTGGTGCTTGTGCAAAGCTGGGGCGATTGATGTGGGGGCCTTAATAATTGGAATGGGTTTTTGGGGTATATCATACTATACTTGATTAAGTGAAACTACAGGCGGGGAGTGTAGGGTATATAGGGCTTCTATAAGGCTTCCATAAGGTATATAGACCTTCTCTAAGGCTCCTATAACGGTAAGTACCCACCTGAAAACTGTCCTCGACTTGAGCCCCCCAAAATAGTATAGGTAATTATTCCTAAACCCTAAACCCTAAACCCTAAACCCTAGATAGGTAATATGGGTAATTATTAAGGCGCCTATATACGCCTCAGCTCTAGGGGCTTAGGGTGTTGCATCCGGGAATCTACAGAAAACCCGAGGACCAAAACCGCAAAACTCCAAAACCCTGAGTCCTAAATCCTGAAGTTTAGGGTTTAGGGTTTAGGGTTTAGGGTTTAGGGACCCAGCGACGTCCCTAAACCCTAAACCCTAAACCCTGAAACCCCTACCCAGCGACGTCATGGGGATGAACTTGGCTCAGTCAGTCGCCATGCATCGTCGTTTTTCTCGGCCCTGCCCTTCGCTGAAGGCCTCTTTATATACGACTTCGCGAATTCATGAAGCCCACCTTTAGAAAGACGAACCCGACGACGAGGAGGGCGACGGAGAGGAGAATAGGAGGTTCTTCTGTCGGTCGCGCGTACTTGGACAACCTGGGTGCGGTGGCTGTTGCACACCACCTCGCCCCTAAACCTTAAACCTAAACCCTAAACCCCGTGTTCTGCTGCGGCTGAGATAGGGAGATCCGCTTGTCACGGGCCCGACAGCATCCCATCAGATCGCTAGAAGCTGCTCTGATCATAAGGAAAACGCTGATGCAGTGCATCTTGTTGAGGCGTTATAGGGTTTTGGGGCTTATTGCGTGGAGATGGCTTGGGGCTGCAGCATAGGTGTGGGGGTTTTGGCATTGCGGGGAATCCCTAAAATCTAGGATAGGAGATGTTGCTCCGTCTTCGGCTGAAGACCAAAATTGAGACCCCTGCCTATTCCCGAAGGTCCCGAACCCAAAACCCAAAGCTAACACCCTAAACTCAAACCCCAAGCTTAAAACCCTAAACCCTAAACCCTAAACCCCTAAACCCTACACCCCTAAACCACAATATTTCCCAACTTTCCCAATTCCGAATCCTGCCTGTCACAAGCCCTAGTAGACGGCCCTATAGGCCTAAACGCAACCCTCTAACCTTCAGCCTCTAAAAATCGCCCGACGTGCTCTACTAAACCAGAAATACTCAGAACCAAAGACCCGATTCCCACGAAAATCCCAAACCCGAAACCCAGGGTTTAGGGCTTGGGGTTTGTGGTTTAGGGTTAGGGGTCAGGGGTTTAGGGTTTAGAGTTCAGGCTTAGGGGTTTAGGGTTTAGGGATAGGGGTTTAGGGTTTAGGGCTGAAAACAACCCCCAAACCAAAACAAGCAATACCCCCCATACGAAATGAAGCCCTGAACCCAAACCCTTAAACACTTTTCCCCCAAAGAATTTCCGAAACCCAAAAAGGAGCCTTCCTAAACCCTAAACCCCTAAACCCCTAAATCCCTAAATCCCTAAACCCTTAACCCTAAACCCCCAAACCCCCAAACCCTAAACCCTAAACCCCCAAACCCTAAACCCTAAACCCTAAAGCCTAAAGCCCTAAACCCTCAACCCTAAACCCTAAACCCTAAACCCGAAACGCGACAAGAGATG